ATCTATCAGCTAAATATTGTCTTCTTAAGTGGAGCGGCGGATCTCCACATTCTAATTGAAGAGCATTATTGGGACTGGATTTCATTGCACCAGATATTATTCGTAAAGCTTTTGATTGAATTAAATCGATTTTTTTAAGACCATTACAAGGTTCCAATAAAAATGTACCATAATCTACAATGCTTCGAATGATAGCGTTGTAAACTAACTTTAAGCAGATGGGGTGCGCACCCCACCATACACCAGAAAGGCATCTTAACATATTTAGTTGACGTTCACATTTTGCTACTACATAATCGAAATGCGGAATGCCAGTAAGTTTTGAGTCCAATATTAGACCTAAAAATTTTGCATTATTGTTAACTGGAATTGGACTATTTTTATAAGAAATGTGGATTTTTGGAAGAACACGTTTTCTGGAAAATATTACAGTGGTACTTTTAGAGGCAGACAATTCAAGACCATTTGATTCACTCCAAATACTCAATAGACGCAAAGAGTAATTTAAGCACTCACAAGCTTTATGAGCAGATTCATCCGAAACATACAGAAGTAAATCATCTGCATACTGTAGAATATTTGCAGACCCATTAAGGAAATGTTCTAAATCATAAGTGTATATATTATAGAGTAACGGACTAAGAACAGAGCCCTGGGGTAATCCTTTCCAAGTCGTCCTGGATATTTTATGTCCATTTTCTAAAAAAATATGTATAGTCCTCTCATATAACATGTTATAAATGAAGTTAATGAATATTTTTGGAACTTTTAAATCAATTAATTTCTGCCGTAACAGATGCGGAAGAACACTATCATATGCAGAATTTATGTAAAAACGCAGATAAAAGGAAATTATTATTTGTGAACGCCAGTCTTATATCAGTAGTTAAAATACTCAAGCTATCTATCGTACCTCTTCCTTTCCTAAAACCAAATTGACTGCTTGCTATTATATTTTTGTTTTCAGCAAGCCATTCAAGCCGGTTTTTCACAAAATGTTCTGCAAGCTTACCTATTACAGATGATAATGCTATTGGCCTGTAAGTTGTGGCCTCAGTAGAAAGTTTCCCGGGTTTAAGAATAGCAATGATTTCCTGTGTTTGCCAAGACTTTGGTATATTGCTAGTTGCTACTATGGAATTTAAAAGATTTAAAAAGTAAGACAAAGTTTTTCGTCTAAATTTGAAATAAAAGAGTATATAATACCATCCTCCCCAGGGGCAGAATCCTTAAGATATGATAATATGCCTTTTAATTCTGACATAGAAAACTGCGAGGCTAATTCGGAGGGATCGCTTAAATTACACTCTAAATTTGAGTGGCGAAATTCTGGAGCAAAAGGGGGGGCAAGTCGGTCTGTAAAATCTTCAGCAAGATCTATTGGAAGAGATATTGAGGGAGAACTAATTTTACTACATCTGAATCGTCTGATATTTTGCCAGAGAACTGAAGGATTAGTATTAGTAGGGATCGATGAACAGTAATTTTTCCACCCTTCGATTTTCTTCATCTTTAAAATTTTGTAGATGAACAATATTGTCTTTCTGCAGTCTTTCTTTTTTTAACAGCTTCAGAGCATTCTTTATCCCACCATGGCGGGGGTGAAGCTTTTTGGTAGGTATTTTCTTTTAAAGGAAAAGCTTGTTCCGCAGTGTTATTAAGAAAATTTACAAAAGCATTATAGGAGTCAATTTCATAAAATTTTTGGACATCTGGCAAGGTAGAAACGTTCTGTAGTGTGTTGCTTTTTTTGTAAGTATGCCAGCCTTTAATACTTAATCTGTATTTCATACGTGAACGCGGAACTTTTTGATTTGGAAGGTTATAGAAAGGAAACGAAATAATTATTGGAAAATGATCACTGCCATAAGTAGAAGACAAAATGTCCCACTCTAGAACAGAAGAAAGATTGGGAGTACATATAGATAAATCTACAGCACTCACACTCTCATTCGGTTCTGTACGTCTTGTCGGCTTTGAAGTATTTAGAACACATAAATTATGATGATCAAGGATATCTAACATTAGATCTCCATTAGGATTAGAAAAAGAGCTACCCCAGGATTGATAATGACAGTTAAAATAACCCATAACCAAAAATGGCTTTTTCAGTGAAGATAAGAGATGATTAACTTCATTTAAAACTTGTTGAGATGGGTGAGGAACATAAATAGATACATAACAAACATTATTATATGAAATCGCAATTGCCGAAAAGTTATCAGAGTGTGGAGGCAGTGGAACATACGTGAAAATAACAGTTTTTTTAATTAAGATTGCTACACCACCAAATCCATCCAATCTGTCTTTTCTATGGCAAATGTATCCTTGCATATTAAATGATAAATTTGGCCGCAGCCAAGTCTCCGAAAGAAAGATAAGGAAAGGATTAAATTTGTTAATCAAATATATCAATTCACTTTTTTTATTAAATATGCTCCTGCAATTCCACTGTATAACTTTGGCTTGATTGTCCATTGTTAAGAATTTGTTTAAGAATATCAAATGTTTGAGCAACGTTGTTCGGTGAAATTATTTTACTTAGTAACAAAGAATTAATTAAAGGAATTACAACATCTGTAAATATGTCTTGTTTTTCATTCCCATTGGGTGTTAATGCACATCCGTTAGACGACATTGGGATTTCAAAGTCCTTAATTAGAGCTTGATGAGCTGCTTTGTCATAGCCTTTGTTGAAATGGGGAAGAGGTCGAGTTTTTAAAGAAACTGTCTTTTTATATGAGTTTTTCAATGGTTGGTTAATATGTGATGACAAAGAATGTTGTGGCCTCATAGACTCAGCTGAATATGTGCTAGAGGGAACAGATTTAAGAATGTCAACATAAGACTTAGTGACAGGGGGGAGCATTTTGGAAGCCTCTGCATATGAGATGCAGTTTTGTGCCATGGTCAATTTTATTTGTTTTTGTCTAGCCCATTCAGGACATGATTTGCTAATAGCAAAATGTGACCCAGAACAAAGGAAACAGAAAGCACAGTCATCATCTTTATTGCAAGAGTCACTTGTATGAACATCTCCACACTTAAAGCAGCGTGGTTTGGACCTACATTGAATTTTAGTGTGACCATATCGACAGCAGTTGTAACATTCTATAGTAGGATATGTGTAAAGTTCGACAGATAAAGCATTATAGCACATATAAATGTGTTTTGGAAGAACCTGACCATCAAATGTTATAACTACTGTCTGTGAAGGTTTCCAAATTGGAGACCCATCAACAGTTGTTTTATAATTTAATCGTCTTATTTTTAAAATTTCACCACAACCCATTGGCACAGTTATGTTATTTTTAATTTCATCTGGGGACCATTCAGCTGGCACTCCTCTTACAATACCCATCCTAGTTATGTTGAAGGTTGAAATAAAGGCTTTTAATTTCTGTGTAGACAAAGAAGGATGATTAATAAAAGTGTTAGCATCAGTAAAATTGGAAAATGCAAGGGAAATCTTGTTCCTACCAATTTTTTTTATACTGCCATTGATGATATTGCTAAATGCATTTTTTTTTAGAAAATTGCCAAAGGACACAGGGTGGAATGAAGTACTATCATTAAATGAAGATACTTCTTTTTGAACATGTATAATATAAGGTGATAAGTCCCTGTTTTGGTAAATCTTTCTATATTCGACACTAAGTTGCTCGGGCTCTTTTGATTCTGTTGTTACTGGTGATGCAACATTATTTAGAATGGTGCTGTTCTCATCACTATCGCAATGACAGGCATGCTTAGTTTGGTCATTCTTAGTACCAGAATGACTGCTCCTCCTTTTTTTATTGCAATGTTTGCAAATTTTCTGCAAACGTGAGCGTTTTCTAATGATAAGAGTATTCGACGCATCAGTGTCCATACAAGACTCGCCATTAGAAACTTCTACATTGTACGCAACCTCGGGGACTCCACCCCCGGGATCAGGGGGTTCATTCATTATAATAAAATATATAAAACTTACCTAGGTATAGAAATTAAACTATTACTATTAATAATTAACTACACAAAGTAAAAAAATTACATATAAACACAAAACTTCTCTGATTATTATCACTAAAATTAAATAAATGTGATTTAGAGAAAAAAACGCGCGCTTAGCTTTCAAAGTTTCCCGCCCTTTTTTCAGTGCAACAGTTGTTTTAGTATTTTTATACTTTTTTTTTAATATGGCGGATTATGGTTTAATAAATGGCCTTACAACGAACCTGAATTCAAAACCGACTTGTCAACCCCGACACGCCATGGTCTTGGTCTGTCCTACCCCTAGAGTTTTTTTGAGCCCGGAGGCGAGGAGGGAGGACAGCCCCCGCCTGCCGTGACAAAGGCGCAGGTATCACGCGCCCCGTAGCGACTGAGGCTGGTCGCCGCCGGAGGTGGCGAACATCAAGCGGAAGGTGCGACTGGGGGCGTGATCGTCTGTGACTTTGTAACGCAAAGGCGAAGAGGCTGCTTTTCCCGCAGCGCCGGAGATAAGGCAGAAGTACTGGTTTTTACTCCCCTACTCTTTTTTCACTGAGAAATAGGGGCAGACAAAGTAAGGTTACAATGCAAGAAAAAAAATGGTGACTCCGGCCGTAACTACAGGGGAGGGGTTAAACCTCTCCCCCTCCGTCCGACTAAAAAGGAAATATGTAAAAAATTACCGATTTCAAAGCTTTTATTAGTATAATCAAAGAAATATTTCCTTTTTCAAAAAAATATTAAAAAGAACTGCATTTCCGACGAATTTTCCCCCTCCCCCCAACTCGCTACCCACATGTACCTATATAAGTGACCTTCCAAATGTAAAAATACTTAATAATTCTGCAAATAATACAATTCCTATTACCATAAAAGCGTAATATATTCTAGGTATAGGTAATATAAGGAAGATAATAGGTTCTAAATATTTTACATGCAGACAAAGTGTGTGTATAAACTGCTAATCTTGTTTTTTATTAATAAAAATAAACAACATTGAAATAGTATATTTTTATATTAAAACTTACGGAATGCAGCACCCTTAACTTTGTTTATTAAAAATAAACCATTTGTAGATCGTAACATATTGCCACCCTTCGATTCCGAACACTGTAAAATAAAACTATTTTAAATTTATATCAATCAATAATATGAAACTTAATAAGCCTACATAAAATTAAATGTGATTACAAAAAAAAACATAATTGTTTTTAATTTTTAAGAGATTAAAATAATAACAAGACTTACATGTCAACTCACTCCACCTACTGTTGCAGGGCCCTACTGAATTAATTTATTAAATTGACATTGAATAAATCGAATGGGAAGGCAGGCGAATCAGTCAGAATGCAAAATTTTGATAGGCATTGTCCTATTGCTTCGTTCAATATTTTTGACAAATGTCTATAGATCATACAGCCTTTCCATTTGTATATTCACCATTATCAAGGTCATTTGAGTCTATTACTGAAATGTCTCGATAATTGTTTACATCATCAGTTATTTTCTGTGTTTCCGCGGCTAATTTATAGGTCGATAATTGTTTACAAAATTGCAGTTACTTTATAGTTTAGCATCATTCTCGTTTATTGTTTTTCTCACTAAATAGTGTCGACGCGTATTTTTACTTCGTTACTATTGTTTCTCCATCAATGATTTTTTTATACATTTGTTGGTATATCTATACGTCCTCTATTGATTCATATTTAACAAATTATTAATTGTATACAAAAAAAGCGTGTGGCTTTATTATAAATAATTACATATTATAGGTTTTATTATGTCAGTTAAATCCCAGTTTAACATTTTCGTTTTTCAGAAACAAAGGATTTATCAGTTGTAAAAAAAGTAGTCAATAAAGAAATAAATTTCAAATCCACTGATAGAGCCTCGTATCTAAATTTTGATACTGCCAATGCCAACACTGGATGAAAATTCATTGTAGGTATGTCGAAAGTGAAGAAATATATCGATATTTATAAAAATATCAATAACGGCCTCGATATCAAAGAGAAAATATCGTATGTATGTCAAATTTGTATTAAAGAAAAAACTAAGTCAATATCTAAAGTTAAGAACGCAAGTGACAATTGACAATTTAGCATACTTAAATAACATTCAAATGATAAACAAATACAAAATATATAATAGAACAATGAACCTAAAACTAAAAACCTTAAAAAATATAATATAATAACTAAAATATATTATTAAAAGGAGTCCCTTTAGGCAAGGTTCCGAAGATACTGGCAAAGTTACCCCTTTGAATAGGTAGACTAATTCTTTGTCCGAGGTAGCTGCCAGCTCTTCGGCTTCCTGTGATGTCGACTAACCTTTTTGCTATTTCCTTAAAAAGCCTAATAGCGCTAGGACCCCACGGACCAAGGGTCTCGACAACGAACGGGACAAATTCATATTCGGAGCCTAGACCCCTGTATTTGCAGGCTTTAGCGTTTTCAGCCGCTTCACATGTCGCACCAGCTCTGTTATTGGTTCCATGTAGATGGGAAGGGGCCAGCGTGTCTGAACAGGTTGCATCCCATACCAATACCCGGCCCATCTTCCATGGAATCAAACTCATACCGTCCGGTCTCTTGCCATCGTCTCTTGCAATACCAGTCGGCTCAAGTAGACTTGGCACGTTCACGGTGGCAAGGGACCGGCGTATGACATCGTTAAGTGCGGCATATCTCGAGAAGGGGCCTGCTGCCTCTGCGGCAGCTTGTCAATATCACTGCCACAGGGACATTTAAGAGGAGCGCAGACCGGAACCCCAATCCGTAGACAGGTTGCGATTCGGAGCGTGTCAGGCTCAAGAAATGTTCCTGTATTTGACGAAGGGTACGCGTGAAGCCAGTAGCCAGCCTATTGGGTGGGCCCTAGCACGCGCCGAACGTGTACTACAGCTCAAAAGATTGTCATAAGTCAATTTGCAGTTTATGTCGTCCCAGCTCCTCTGTGAATTTGGAGAAACTGGAAAATTTTGAGTTGGGCATGCAATTAAGAAAGCCTTAGTAGCTTCTTCGAGGCCAGCAATCTCAAAGTTTGCAGGGGATGCCCTTAAAATTTTACTTATGAGATTTGCTGAACTATGGACAGAAGATAGGAAGGCGGGTAAAGCGACACTGGAAATTTTGCGAATCCCAATACCTCCGGATGGGATGCTTGGGTCTAAGATTGCTCGTTCAGCTGCACATTAAAAATGGATTCTAAACTAACTTTGATTAAGTTGTCTACTTTTGTCAAAAGATCTGGGTGATTCCAAAAGGAGCAGCAACGGAGCACAAACGTAAATGTTGGGACGAAAAGACAGAATTTTAAGATGCAAAGTGCGTAATGTGGACTGATTTTAAGGAGCAGAATTTCGAAATGTAGTAATTGAATTATTAATATATTCAGAAAAAGATTCATCAAAAATTGCTGAACCTAAAAGGTAAAGGGAATTACTGATAACTACTTTACTATTTGGAGCCAAAATATTAAATTTTTGTTTTACGTCATTTAAATTTAAGTCGCAGTTATTCATAAAAAGTTCGCATTTGCTAAAATTTAGCTCCAAACCAATGGCTTCAAATTTATTTTTGATTAAAAATAGGTCCGAAAACACAGTATTCACATCACCTCCTAGGGTTCCGTCGTCCAAATACCAAACGTTGAATTTAGAATTTAAATTTTTGATTATGGATTTATAGCCAAACTAAAAATTGCAGGCCCAAGGGGATCACCCTGTTGACAACCTACTTCCGAGAACAGTTCACTAGAATGACATAACAATTTTGTTGGGTCAGCGTAACTGAGAAGATAATTGTATATTTCCGGTATATGTTGTTTTATTTCCGTCAGCAGGGTATACCTGTTTACCGAATTTAATGCATTTTTGACATCAATTTTGAGCAAAACGTCAGGAAGTGTCCGTAAGTTAGGAAAGAGCGTAGGGCATGGACGGCTGCCTCACACCGTCCTTTTACACCGAAGCCTAACTGTACGGGTTCAAATTTCGAATTTAATTTTGGTAAAATGTGTTGAACAGCAATTTTGGAGGCCAGACGTCCTAGTGTTGATCCAACAGCAATTGGTCTCACCCTTCCGTCCTTTTTGGTGAGGGCAATGAGGTACGTGCTAAAAAGAATGGGAAAAATTTCTGGATTGACATTACCGGAATGTTAAGTCTTTCAAATGTTGGTGTGAGATTCCATCCAAACCTGCAGCCGAACCTGGTTTAAAAGATAAAATGGCATCCGTAACATCTTTTTTTTGAATTTGAAGGCATGTTTGCCCTGCTGTTGGTGGGTCGAGAAAATAAGGATTCACTGGAGCTGCAGGATGTTTTGTCCGTAAGGCCTTAAGGGTGTCAGGGGTATCTTGTGATAGCACGTCGTTGGAGAACAGAAGGCGAGCCTTCCCCCACCCTTGAGATCCAGTCCCGGGCACCTTTGAGATCTCAGACACAGATTTTGTTTTCTATGAGTTTGTTGCGATTACGAGGGGCATCATGTTTGATTAAAGGTGCGGTAGAAGGCGAGGAGCTTACAGCACAGTTATTCTTAATCTTTTGTGTCAATGATAAAGTTTTTATTATATGTAGTGTGCTGTATAAAAATAAAAAAAAGATTCTGCCAGTCTTGACTAGAATTGCTTATATAATATTTCTGGATTGTGACAAATACGTAGCAATGGTTATTCGAGCTCCTCGAGGGATTCTTTTAACTATGGGTATACTATTTATCAAATGGCTAGGATATATGTGGAAAGGAGTTGGATCGTTGGCTACATAAGTAGGCGCACTCGGAATAATGTAATGGATGTCTAAAGGTTAACTGTTTTGGCTAATAAATTTCCTGTGTTTGTAGTGTGTATGTTGAGGCCTTTCTAAGATTTGAATGACATATGTATTAAATATTTGAGATCTACGGGCTCTATGGTTTTTGATATGATTTCGATATTGAATATTTTATATCGATATATAGGTTCCAAATATTGCAGCGAAAACTATCGATATATTTAATAAAAATATCGATATTTTTTCAACATCCCTAAAATACATAGTTATAATAAATATGTCTTATCAACGGCCATGGCCAATAGCACAACATAGCATTGCCAAAATTGAAACAAAATTCCTTATTAGTAATAGTGAACAATGTTAAACAAAGTTTTATTATCAACAGACGTTACATTAGTATGTGTTCAACATGCATTATCAACAGAAAAAGAGGAAATTATGGGATTGCTGATAGGAGAGGTACATATTATTTTCTCAATACAAATTTTATTTATGTTATACATTTGCAATACATTAGGTTTTTATCATTTGAATTTATATTTAAATTTAAAGGTACACGATAACAACTCTTTAGTATCAATAGTATCATCGGTTATATTACGGCGATTAGATAAAAAACCCGATCGTGTGGAGATTTCTGAAGAACAGTTGGTACAGGCCACTCTAAGAGCAGAAGAATTAGCTGCAGAAGTTGGTCGGCCTCTTCGTGTAGTGGGCTGGTACCACTCACATCCACACATAACTGTGTGGCCGTCACATGTTGGTAATTACTTAAAACATTCATTTTATTAACTTAAAATTTTATGTAACACAATTTATGTTTATTTTTTTAACATAAATGCTCTGAAAATACTTCTGCTAAAATACATAGTAAGTTGTGTTTATAACGCATTCATTTCTTATCTAAATTTAGTAGATCATATAAATAGATGATAGATGTAATAATACTTTTTCTTGCATTTTGTTTGTTTATAATATCTCATTGTTTCAAACACTAATATATCTACAGAAGATTGAAATATGTACCATGAATACTTTACTCTATAAAATAAAAACAAATACAGAAGAATCCAGTAGTTTAATGAAAAATGTAGCGCATATAAGTAAATCTAAGAAATCATTTAAGGTTACTAGATCATTCAAGAACTGATGATTACTAACAACATATGTACATAATCCTTTTAAACTTTTATTCCTCTTTGGAACGTAAATATAACATTAAAAAAATTTGCTCAAAATGATGATGGATAACTAACACAAAATAAAATAATTATTGTAGAAAATGCAAATTTATTATCAAATTTGAATACTTTGTAGATCTTGCAACACAATCAATGTACCAGCGAATGGATTCTAGTTTTGTTGGCATAATATTTGCTGTATTTCTAACAGACCAAACAGCCAAGGCACCTTCGGTAATTATGTGAATTTGTATTTTTAAAATATAAAAAATTAAGTATGATTATGAATTTGAACCTATTTGTCCATCTAATATTTATTTATTTTTCATAGGTACAAATTACATGTTTTCAATCTATAAATGAGGGTTCAACTCAAAGCAGAAGGGAAATAGAATTAGAAATAACAAATAATAATGATTCTTTAACTTTAAATAACTTTGAGGTAAGTAAATAATATATAATACATGCATTAAATATCCACTTTTATACATTACTCTTCAAAAATTTTAGATATTGACACAGTTGCCAACCATACTTAAGGAAGAGGAAGATGAATCATATAGTAATGAAGCAGGTCAAAGTGAAACTGATGATATTATTACAAAGCAACATAATGCAGCTGTTCGAACTATTGCTATAGGCCATATTGTAGAAAAGGTGAGTTCTATCTAGACCTTCTAACCTAACCCAACCTTTTTGTACAATGCCCCACCTTAGCTTTTCTAAATTCCCTTATAATTTCCCACATAACTTATAAAAATAAAATAATTGAATTGTACACTTAAGAAACTTAAATGATAGGCCTTAGGAAGAAAAATTCGAAATTAATATTGCATTATGATTTTAAATGGCCTGGAGGTAAAGGATTAAATTTGTGTTGAATCCATTTTCGAATTGCCCCCAAATTTGATTGTTAAGTAAAATTGCCCCTCACAGGGGGCCTTTTTGATGCATAGGCCCAACCAACATTGAGAAACACTGCTCTAGACTATTTATTTAGCAACACTTTTTTTTATGTGAAAAGTTGGCAAGTGAGCAGGTGGTTCACCTGAAGTTAAGTGATTACTGCTGCCTATGGACACCTACATAACTAGAGTAGTTGGAGATGCATTGACAACCTTAAAAAAAAGAAGGCCCCAGTTACCTCACACCACAGGTATTGGAGAGTGTTATACTTTCGCATCATGCTGGTCTTCTGTGAGACCATGATAATCCCCCAGACCAGCCTGTGTATGTGTAAAATCAGAAGCTGCTGTGTGGTGCCCTATAATAAATGTTTAAAGTATAAAATGTACATTTAAGGACTCTTGTTGCTCAATTGACAACTATGATGTTAGTACATTTTAATAAACTATAATGTAAATTGAATTAATTTTTAAAAGTCTGATTTGTTCCTTCAAATGTCTAAAAAAATTATAAATATTTGCCATTGAATTTATAGGACCTAAAAATAGGTATAAAAAAATTGTTAAATACTTATTCAACACAGTCACTATTGTGATCTTACTTCTAGCACTGTTGATACCTCCATTACCAACTGTTTAACTTATTTCTTTGTTGAAAAAGTGAAAAGGTCTACTTTTTTCTTTTATATCTTTTAAGCTTTTTCCTGTTTGGTTGTTTAAGAGTAAATAATATTTAATAAAATTTTAAATATTTCTTATGCATGCTTTATTTATTCTATTTTACTACATGATATTCAATCACCATAAATAAAAACCTGAATTAGTAATAAGTTAGGTTTGATGATATATTTCGTAAAACTCTATAGAGTGAGAAGCACATGTGAAATAAAAGCTACAGCTTTCTTCAATATACCCAAGAATTGTGAATTCTAATAAATAAAATTTCTATTTTAATATGTAAAAAAATAATCTGATTTTTTCCTATTTCAGATATCAAGACCTATGTTGGAAGCATTAGTTGCTAGAAATGCTCTGAATAATGTTCGTTTAAAGGCATTAAAAAAACAGCATCAAGAGTTAATGTCACTTTTAGAAAATATGTCATGTAATGTGTAAGTGCACATTGTTGATACAAAATCAAAAATGGCAAATGGTGAAATATTTTTATAGAATATCATTTTTATCGATCATTTCAAAACCATCTGAAGAATCAATACTTGGAACCCGTTTCCTTTTATTGTCTTCTTGCGGTGTATAAATTATATTAGCAACAGCGCCACCTAGATTTTGGAAAACATTGTAAGCGGCATTAGTCCATGTGTTGGCTGGTTCAACTACCAATGTTGATTGAAATTGTTCTTTGGGCTGATCTTGAATAAAAAAAATATATATATAAACTATAAAATGTCTTTTAATTATTATATTATATAAATACTTACATTTAACTCTAGGTATATATTCATCTTCACTGGAGTCTGAAGTTTCAATTTCTTTTTCAAATGTATGCATCTTTTCAATTGATAAATTAGTAACCAGTGAACTACTATTATCAGAACTGTCACTTACTTCTTCAATTGGCACATCTTCAGGTTTCCAATAATCTACAGAAAAAGTTTATTATAGTTCAAAGCCATTGCATAAAACTCTGGTTTTTAATACATTTTTTCTAAGGTAAAAGCTATATATATATCCAGTTCCTAGGTAAATATGATGAAATCCTTTGTATATAGGAAATGTATATCTACACATTCAAATATATATAATAACTTATTTATTCATCACCATTAAGAAATATGTTACTAAGAAGCTTAAAAACTTAAAACTGCATATTATATTAAAATTGTCTATATGGGTTTCTTATTTAAAAATAAAAGTAAAAATGTTATTTAATAGAGTAATATTGAGAAAGATGTTTTTACCTAAGCTTTGTTTTTCATCAATAACTTGGTTTTGTTCTTGGTCTATAGATAATAAGTCCATATTAGCATCAGTATCATCAGGGACCAGTCCTTCCAATTCAAGATCAGACTCTGCAAATTTTACTATAATATTAACTTATGAAATTATAATGAATATTAGTAAAAGTGGCTATGGCTAAAATGTTACTATAAAAATATTACCTGCATTTTGTTGAATTCTTTTCATGAATCTTACTACGGGTGGTAACAATTTGTATGAAATGCATAAAATCATCACCAACATGTACATTATTGAATAGCCTGTAGTGTGCTTGCAGATAAAGAAAATAAGACCTAACATAATTTGCACCAATAAAAATGCCTGCAATAAAAGTGAAATCAATCACAGCATTTAGAGACATTAATTTATTTACACATATATTTCTGTTTTTATTGCCTATAAATCTCACCAAGTAAAATACAACATAATGATAATGTTAAGACATCATAAGTAAATTTTTGATGGCAAGTTTGATTAAAATTTATTTAATTAAGAGCTTCGTCATCATCATCATCCTCCTGCTCTCATCCCAACCTAAGTATAGAACACAACATATGAATCATGTTGTAGGCCATTGACCTGCCTGATGTCAATCCTCCTTGGAAATCAAACACTATCTTAGTGTTTGATTTCCAGGGGAACAATTATCTGTTGATCACAAAAATACTTGTCCTGGGTGTGAATTGAACCCAATCGCAATGGCACCATCGAGTCATTTATTTAATTAAAAGCATAAAGCTTCAAAATGCGGGGCATTAATTTATCAGAAAGCAGATGTTAAACGCGGCTTCACCCGCACTGACGAAGGGAATTAACAATGAGTTTTTTTTTATACACCAGATGCCCGCAGATGGCAGAAATTTTTCCTACTTACTTGACACTTATTGTTATATGTTGGATAATTCACATAATATCTTTATTAATTAAAACCTATGTGTTATTCTGATGTATTAGCTAAATTATTGTAGTTTCATTAAAATCCATTCAGTAGTTTTTGTGTGAAAGAGTAACAAACATCCATCAATACAAACTTTTGCATTTATAATATAAGTAAGGATATTATAACCAGATTACTACTCACTAATAGCTAAATTGGAACAAGGATGTAAACAAATTTTAAGATTTTTATAATTTTTATAATTACTTTTGTATAATAATTAGTAGTAAAAAAATAACTACCACAGAAATAAATATATAAGCCTAATGACTAACCTTTGTATGGTTTCTTTCACGCAAAAGAATATAATCCAACCACCTTCTTTTGAGCCAATTTTTTAATTGCAATGTCGTTAATTTGAAATTTGTAAGGTCATGATTAGCTAACTTTTTTAAACAAGTTGTTCTATGTTTATATTTCAACCAAGTTTCAAAAGCATCAAAACCAAGTATAACAATAGACAGCTTGAAAATAAATTGTAAGAGATTGATTTCTTGATGCACGCACATGCTAAAAATAAATAAATTTCTATAGTATATTAGAATTAAAAAAATATTACGAACAAACGTTAGGAGCACTTACAAAAAAAATATATTTAACACAAGAATAAAAATAAGAGATAGCCACATTTTCTTCCAAAATAAAACATCTTCAAGTATGCCAATAAATGCGATGAATAAAAGAGAAGTCTGGTTTTTATAATCATTACTTTTATTGATATTCCATTTTAGTTTTCGTCTAATAGTTGCGAACATGTTTTCAAAATTTTAAAAATATAACATGTCAATTTTCAACAATATGATATGTTGAAGAAGTTATATTCTCGCACAAAAACAGATACAACATCAATATAAAAGTTAGTGAACGGCAACTTGTCAAAGTCAAAATCAAAGAGGTCAAAATCACAAAGTTAGTATTTCTTTTTCAAATTAAAGAATAGGCAATGGCATAAAATCATACAGATTTGTATTTTCTTTAAAAAATCAGGCTGATGATATTAGTTTTAGACACAATCAAAACAAACTCATTGTTCAAATGACAAAATCATTGTTCAAATATTTGTCAATTACTATTACATCTCATTCATCAGATTTTGGCACCTAATTAGCACCTAAAAAGTACCTAATTTTGAACATTTTTTAAATACAGTTTTAAACACTATGCTCTGCTATCGTGACGGACATTATTATAAAAAATAACCGCTCGAGCCAACGCATCTCGAGGGCTTGGTCTGTCAGCTGGCTATGAGTGGCCACTCCCCGATAACAATAGCTTCAGTCTATCTTCCATGTAAATCAAGCCAGTGGCGGATTTACCAGCAGGTTAAGCAGGCTAGACCCTAGGGCGACAGTATTTATGGGGTGGCAAATTTGGCCCAAAAATTGTTACCTTACAGTACAGTAATAAAGAAAAACATCATTACACCAAAACATTATTAACATAGAGAAAACCAGTCTTGTAAATTTAACTTTAACTTGATTCATTTTGTTGTCATTATTAACCGGATTGTTAACAGAAAATTAAAAAGAGACACTGTTCGTATTATTTTTTGAATCACCGATCATCGTAGATGAGAGCGGTTTTTGAATCACTGATCATCGTAGATGTCAACTAATCAGCTGTCAAATGGCTTTTCAAATCAAAGAGAATGTAATCAAAGTCAAAGTCAAAGTCAAAGTATATTTATTCAATATAGGCCCAACTTAAGCTCTTATTGAACGTCAACAAAAATCTATCACCGGTTCACTAAACTAGACCTGCACACAGAAGAACCAGCAAGAAACTCTGTCTTGTTCTTTTTGTTATATATATATTTTTTTAATGCAATTATACACACTTATTTGGGTATAAAATCAGCAGCAGCCAGGGGTCTTGCAAGTGCAGAGCAAGAGTAATTTCCAAACATCCTTGTCCTCTATGTATTCTTGGATATTATAGTAGGCCCTTGCCATTAAGGTAGCTTTTACAAATTGTTTGAAATTGTTTATACTTAGTTGTTTGTGGATGTCACCTATTTTATTGTAAAAGTTGATGCATCTTCCAAGAAACGACTTTCTGGTTTTAGCCAATCTAAACCTCGGTACTTCCAGAGTGTCACTACGGCCCCGACGCGATGTGGATTGTTTTTTCGTAAATAGGTGGATATTATTACGTACATACATGATGTTCTCAAGTATGTTAAGCGACGGGAGCGTCAAAACGTTTATTTGCTTAAATGTATGTCGTAGCGACTCACGTGGACCCAAGCCATAGACGGCCCGTATAGCCTGCTTTTGTAATACAAATATTGTGTCTAGACCGGATGCAGAACCCCGAAGTAAGACACCATAGGACATTATGCTGTGAAAATAAGCATAATAAACTAATTTTGCAGTTTCCTCGTTAGTTAGCTGCCTGATTTTGCGTATGGCAAAGACGGCAGCGCTCAATTTCTTAGCTAACTTATCTACATGTAATCCCCATTGCAACTTGGAGTCAACGCTTATTCCAAGAAATGCTGTTGAATCCTCAAGGGGTAGGATTTTCTCATCACTAGAGATTCCTGATTGGTGACACAACTTTGAAAGAGTAAATCTAATACATTTTGTTTTATTGGAGTTCAATCACTACGTTTATTGTTTCAAATGTTATTTGCATTGACAAAAGGATGGTTTAGCTCTTTGAATTGATCATTTTGATCATTAAGAAGATCATTCTGGTTAATTCAGAGAGTTTAACCATCCTTTTGGCAAGTAAAATGAAATTTGAAAAGCTATTTGACAGCTGATAAATTGACATCTACGATGATCAGTGATTCAAAAACCGGGCGTAAGTGCAATAAAATTTTTTAACAAGGTTTACTAAATGAACACAGCTAGTACAAAATAATGTATACTGGTATAAGTATATAGGTATAGTATAATTATATACAGTATAAATATATAACGAAAATCAAGGGAATTAAAACATATTCATTATATATTATAAATTAAATTGTGCATGTTTATAATCTGTCAGCCTGTTACTCATCAATAATCTGTATCTATCTCCCAAAGTTGCCAATTAATTTTGTATATATTGTAAATTGTGTGAAATGATTTCGAAATTTACTAGATATTTTAATTCTAATACAGTGTCATATGCAGTGAGCGCTAATAAAACATCACGTTCAAACAAGTGATTGTTAGTAAATAGCACCACAACCTCCACATCCCTAAAACAGCTTTGCGGTACGGTTTATAAGCCCCACGCCTATACATAACTAGTAGTTTTTTGTTCTGTCATTTTTGAGGGACACTATTCCTTCCATGTATATTTACTTGTCCTATGTTAGGGTTATAGCTTTTGTTCAGAACGAAACTGGAAACAAACAAGGTAGTTAAAGAAATAAAAAGAAAACGCTTTGTTAAAGAAGCGTGGGATGCTCGTAATTACAGTATCAATTGAATGTCTATTTTTATTTCAAAATACAGAGTTAGCTCTGTATTTCGAAAATGTTGTACAAAGCACCCCAAGCTTTTTACTGTTGCGTACTCAGAGTGTAAAACCCAATTAGACCCCTATTAGAGTGTGTTTTACCCTATTATTAAAACTCCGCGGTCGGTCTGTTTGTTCTTCTGTCACCAGGCTGTATCTAATAAACCGTGATTCTTAGTCTGTTCAAATTTTCACAGATGATGTATTTATGTTGCTGTTTTAACAACAAAAACTAAAAATCCGAATAAAAATAATTAAGTGGGGGGCTTCCGTACAAAAACATAACGCCACAATTTTTAACTATTTCGGTGGTGAAGCAAGGGAGCGGAGGAGGAGTAACCCCGCTTATCGGGGCGCAGTGCGCGAGTTTCGTCGACGCGCCGCGTGACCAAGTCATTCATTACTTAATGTGTGTTTAGTGATAGGCCGTAGGATACTATCGATAGTATCATGGAAGGCTTTTAAAAATGTACACAGATGATCCCTATAATATATTTTGTAGACCATGGTTGTATTTTACTTTTATATTTTTATAGGAATATAAGAATATATGAGAAACACAATTTTAGAAAATCTTCCAATTAATTATTTTAAATTATCAGAAAACGGATTAGAATTGATTAAAAACACATCTTTAGGTCAAATAAATTAATAAAGTCAAATGACATTTCTTAGAACAAAACAATTAATAAACGAATAATTATTCATTTTTATTTAAAGTAATAGCTCATAAAAATTTTAAGCAATTTCATGGTCTCCACTGCAGAAATTATGAATACGACTTTTTTATTACACATTTTCTTAAACTTTTTCTTAAATTTATCCTTTAAATGTTAAAGACATGTAGTAAACATTATATAAATTCCTCAATAAAATGACATTAAGAAAATTATCGATAAAATTCCTCATATCGATAAAGAACAACAATAATAACTAGAATCGAAATTTTGTCACCTTTAAAGACATCGTGTAGCCTATTGGTCCGAGCGCCATGGTAGGTGAGAAATTACGGTGTTCCCAAGTTCGAACCTTATTGAGTGAATTCATCTTTTTCAATTTTAATTTGTTAATCAATTAATTATTTTGTTTTTATTTCATAAAATGTGGAAAACAAACAAATTAATAAAAATTGATAATTATAAAACAATTATTTTTCGTGTTCGTAAAAGGTTAATTATCGTTTTAGGGCGAAAAGTTAAATATTAAAAAAAAATACATTCATTATTTCAAATTTTTGACGTCTCATATGGACTTGTCAAAAATTTGAAATAATGAACAAAGAGAATGTAATCACTACGTTGATAATGAAAAGTTGGTTTATTATCTGATAGATTGTTCTCCAACTGTTGCGTTCTACGTTCAACAAATACAATAATATTTAGTTGTAAAGTTGTAATTTATAAAAATAAAAAACCTACAAAAATTTAATGGTAAATTAAATATAAATCACCAAAAATATAACAAAGAAATGAAGGGATTTGAACCGAATCCCTATTGAATGATAGTCCTTTATACTGTATTTATAGGACTGATAAACCTATCAATTACAAGATAAGATATTGTAATTATTCTTTAGTTGTTTCATCATCATCATATCAGCCGTAGGACGTCCACTGCTGAACATAGGCCTCCCTCAATGACTTCCACTTAGACCGGTCGTTAGCGACCGGCATCCAACGCATCCCTGCGATCTTGGCTAGGTCGTCCGTCCACCTTCTGGGAGGCCTTCGTACGCTGCGATTGCCGTCACGTGGTCTCCACTCAAGAACCTTTTTGCCCCAATGGCCATCGGTTCTTCGAGCTATGTGCCCTGCCCACTGCCACTTCAGCCTGCTGACTCGCTCTGCTATGTTGGTAACTCTAGTTCTTCTACAGATCACCTCATTTCTGATTTGATCTCGTGGAGAAACCCCAAGCCCCCTTTCCATAGCGCGCTGCGCGACCGCGAGCTTCCTTATGAGGCCCATAGTGAGAGACCACGTCTCGGCACCGTAGGTCATCGCTGGTAGCACGCACTGGTTAAAGACTTTCGTCTTTAAGGACTGTGGTATTTTGGATGTAAAGACGCTGCGCAATTTCCCGAACGCAGCTCAGCCGAGCTGGATTCGTCGATTGACCTCCTTCTCGAAGTCGAATTTGCCTTGTTGGACCATTTGTCCCAGATAGACATAGC